TTTGAGTCCACTCCGGATTGTTTTCCTTGAATTCGTCAATTGCGATTTGTTGTGTTTCAGATCTTTCGTTCTTAATGAAAGAATGCTGAGCGAACTGACCCTTTCCGTAGACATCGTGAGCCATAAAAGTAAATATTGTGTACTTTGACTGATTCGTCCCGTGTGTTGCATCAATCAAAAGTACTTCTGGAAACCGAGAGAATGTTTTACGCTGTGTGACGTCTGTATTGTTATACAAGTTGCTACTTTCTGATTAAACAAACAAATTACAGACAGTCAGACAAAATAAAATGTTGTACACGATCCTCTTACCTTGCCGCTCTCCATGTCTGTAAAAATCCGCGCAATGTTTCCTGGCTGCTCGCTGAAGTCCTTCATCCAGATTTTGAGTCGTTCCACCCGCGTAGTGTTCCCAAACTTGTCGTTTTTCAACGTACGGACCAGGTTGTGAGCATCTCGACTTGTCGGCAGGCAGTTCGAGTTCTCCAGAACATACTGGTGAATTGTCTTCTTTTTTGCACCAGCCTGTTGTAAAACATTCACTGTCTCGACAACTTCGGCTGGAAGTGCTAGGCGCGGTTTGGGTTAGTAGCTGAATAACTTCACATTGAGATCCTGATTGTGATAGAGCATTGATTTTGTTACACACACTGCCCACTTTTGAGTGTCTTGGTTTATCAGTTTCACGCACGCATTTATCTACGACTAAGAAAAATATTCAGATGAAGCGAGTCTCAGTGGTATAGCGTCAAGTGGTAAGCTGTAACGCGATTCCATAATATATATTCTGGAATCGAATTACAGACTCCCAAGTTCTAAAAGAATAAGCCACACCAACCTGTACAGGTCACTCTATCCGACGGCTTTCTTGACGCAACCTTTTTCCTTGCCCCTGTACTTGTATTTTCCTGCATGAGTACACTCTAATCCGTTCGAATACTGCTCGAAAGAATGTGGAATGTGCGAAGCTGGATTCTTAATTTTCGCATTTCGAGCTTTCCCCATTTTTTTTGTTCTTGTTCGAAAGAGCTAAGTGGCAATGGTTAGAAAATTTGAAACACTTGTAGTTTGTATCGCAGTTTAGGCAGTACCTGGTAGGTCTGTGCTTCATACTCACGCACAAAAGCGTGAAATTCATCCCACGAATCAAACTGGAGTTTTTCAAGGCTGGCCCAGCACTACGAGAAGGATGTGATGCTACTAGCACTGGCGACGAAGCACTGCTGGTGATGTGGCGTCCGCATTCCGTAACGTATGCACGCATAGTGAGAGTGCATATCTCTTTGGCGGCCGACTAAAGCCAGACAATGCGTTAGTTATCGATATGTCCGCTGCCTTCGGATGGTTCGGCTCACCCGGTAGCTACGGAGGTTTTGGCGGAGCGATCGCTCATGTACACGGGAACTCAGTCACCCAGCTACAACCTTCAGGCGTGTTCAGCTACTATTGTGTGGACGACCACATCAACGTGGCAGCCGATATTGGCAACAATTGCAGCGACACGGAACAGTCACTTCGTCACGCGATGATCACCGTACTCGGTCACGCGGCTATTAATGAAGACAAATTCACGCCTTGGAGTAGTCGACAGAAGGCTCTCGGTCTTATCTTTGACACTGAGATCGGTCACGTCGCTATGCCCCGGAAGAAGATAGAGAACGTCAAAACGTGCGTGGCAGCGGCGTTAACCACTACGTCCCTCAGTCGGTCCGAATATAGCTTACTACTCGGTCGTCTACGTCACGTAGCCACGTGCGTCCGCCCCGCTCGTCCATTCTTACAGCGCCTACGCCGCCAAGAAAATCAGCTTCGCAGATGGGATCGGGTGCCTGTTAGTGCGGACATGCGCCAGGACCGGTGCAGGTGGTCCTACATCTTACGCTCCCCGCTATTCAACGGCGTTCCCCTACAATACTTCCACAATGCGCCCCTCCAGACATCATTGTGGAAATGGACGCTTCCGACAGTGGCCTCTGTGCTCTGGTTTCAACGGCACAAATGGTGCTCCAATACACATTCTTCAGCGATGAGCGTCAGATGATCGACGCATCGAAACTCGATTCCACCGTCGGTTTTGATATTAATTAAAGGGAACTACTCTCCTGCGCCTTTGCAGTGCACACATGGGGTCCGGCCTGGTCGAGACAACAACGTTCGAGCAGCAGCGGTATTGTGCACGTCCAATTCCGCATCGACAACACGGCGGCGGTGGCAAAATGTCGTCCCGCAATCCCAGAGCGCAAACCGTCATTAGACTGCTCGGCTACTGGGAAGCGGAATACAGGCTCCGGTTCTCTGCAGTTCACGTGGCCGGTGTAAACAACCGGATTGCTGACGCGGGCTCTCGCGTGACATCTAGCGCTCAACATGCATTTATATTTACTAAACTAACATTGGACTGGACGCAGGCTACTCTGACAACAGACGTGTCGGGTCTGGAAGCGATTTGGCGCTCTATCTCAGAGCCCACTCTGTCGCGGCATCAACCTACGGCAATTACCGCAGCGCGATAAGCGCGTGGTATGCCTGGGCAACTCGCAACGGGGCGGACCCTACGCTACGCGCTAACACATTGGACGACCAAGTTCAGTTCATCACCGATTTCGCAATTTATTGTCTACAGGTCGGCTACGGCTCTGGCCGACCCGTGCGTGGCTCAACGATTGCATCTACACTACACGGTATACGACATTTCCTCCTGGCCGCCAACATGGCGTTCCCGAGCGACAACACACAAACTTGCATGCTTCTGAAGGACATCAATCGTCTCGATCAGCCAGCTATGCACAAAGCCCCCTGTATCTCTCCAATGCTGGAGAGCTGCTTCGAAGCTCTCGACTTGTCCAACCCTTCCGATCAAGCGCTATGGGGGGGCTGTGTTTGTCTTTCTTCTTCCTATTACGGAGCTCGGAAATCGCTTCTAATGGGACAAGATATTCGTGGTTTGCCCTTAGCGTCGAGGACATCGTCGTGCTGAGTCATCAAGGTGTCACCACCACACGAGCACACGAGGCGTCAACAGTGCACATTCGCCTTCGAGGCTCCAAAACTAACCAGCGCGGCGTGCCGACACTCCGAATGATGACCCGCTCGGGTCATCGCTCTTTATGCCCAGTATTTGGCGCACTCTGCATCCTCAGGGCGAGACGCGGTCTTTCACCGAAAATCACAGCCGCGGTGATCAACGGAAACGGATTCCTAGAGTGTGTATCTTCATCAGCAATATCAAGAGCCAACAGACAAGCAGCAACAAGGCTGGGCAACAATCCGAGGATATTTAGTCCTTACTCGCTCAGAGCAGGCGGCGCAACTCACATGTACCGGGCCGGAGTCGACACACTCACCATCCAATTTAACGGACGCTGGGCATCCGACACATTTAAGCAGTACACAAGACTATGCTAAGAGTCAGTCCAAGTGCTGTCGGTCAGGATCGTCAGTGGACCAAGACACATGCACCGACTTCAGTAGAGTTTCCGGATCCTCATAATTGGGGGTCTTCAACTCCATATGACTTAAAGTTAATCCGTTAGCTCTTACTGAATAAATTTATGATGATGCCCCCACGACTGCGTATGCGAGGAAATGAACCCTGGCGCTTACGACAACGGGAGATTTTGGCACATCTGAAGCGAATCCGAATATGACACTAGTTGGAGCTATGTGATTAATGGCCGTGAATGTTTGCTGTCATATGTTGATATCGAGAGCATTGTTGTGGCGAAACAAGCTCATCTCTCATAGAATGCAGTGTCGAAAGGTGATGTGAGTGCGTATGTGGCAGCCATCCTTGTAATTATATTAGCGACGCACAAAGCTATCTTGGATACAGAGTCACTATGCTCACACCATCCGGAGTGTGTCGTCTACGCGCATCGATGGCGGACTGGTAACGAACATTGACCTTGTCTTATCCTTATTGATGTTGATCTATTATAGCTCCGACGACGTACGACTAACGGGTAGATGCAGCTAGCGCGTACGATAGGGAAAGACTCCATCTAGAGCAAGGATGCTTACAGCGCCCCAAGTGATTGATCTGCAGCTGAAAGAATGGCATGAGGAGCTGCGCAAGTGTCATGCACTTAAAACAATGTAGCCATAATGGGTTCTTTCTATTTTCAAATGCTGGTCCAATGTAACAACAGTCAACTAACTCATCTACACTGATACAGTACTGAGCTCGTTCCAGCTTGGACCAAATAATTTCGCTATTTTGAAACACTGGACGTGTGAGCAATTTTTAAATTATCGTAACCATTGACTGATTTTAAAGCCACGTTGCAGGTCGATACGGTGGTACCAACCTACTCGATCTTCCAGACGAAATGCTCAGTGACCTCCTGCAGCTATCGCTGATCTATTTGGGTGTACACGTCAACTTCAAGACAATAGCTTCGCTTACAGGGGTTCCGAACCTGCAAAGTTTCACGCTAGCGTGGACAAATCAAATTCGGGAGCTACCGAACTTTGACAACGTGCCAAAACCTCTTCCAAGACTCGAGTAGATATCTCCCTTGAAAAATCTTGTAGAATTTGTGGTTTTTCGACCGAATCCTGTGTGTTGCAACAGCTTTTTGGGTCCCTGTGACCTGAGCCACGAAGCCCATTCGTTGCTCGGGACGACTCCAGCGAAGTGTCTGACGGATGGTCAGAGCCCAAAACGTCCTGTTGTTACCCTCTTTCTGAGGATTTTTGCGACTCAGACGGCGTTTAATTTTTTGCTCCATTTGTCAATCAAGAAAATGTGTTGAGATTCTGCATTCCCGACGAAAGTGGCAATTTCCTGGAAATATTACGGGGATCTGCTACAAATCTAGGTCGCCTGTATGCCCGACGTTAATTATATCGCATTACGACGGTTTGAAAATGCGAAAGGAATCGTGGCTTGGCTGCTTTATTTAGAACTTATTTATTTAAGAACTTATTCTTTTTCTTAAGTAAAAAAGGAATTTGCTTTGTCACGGGAAATCGGATGCTAATTGTGGTAATGTGGTGACCTTTTGTGTGACCCTTGGCAACATGCGAGCAGTGTACAACGGAGAGTTGGTGGAAGGGATTCGACAAGGGAAGGGAGAGCTGGTCTTCGTAAACGGAGACAAGTACGAAGGCGAGTTTTCTCAAGGATTCCGACATGGCCACGGTGTATTCACCTCTCATCACGGTACACGAGTATACGACGGAGAGTGGCGTAGAGGTGAACGGCATGGCGTCGGCAGAGAGAGATGGCTGACTAGTGGAGACCGATACGAAGGCGAGTACCAACACGACATCATTCACGGCAGAGGAATCTTCACCCGAGGCTCGAACGCAAGTAAATACGATGGCGAGCTCCAGAATGGACGTCGCCATGGACATGGGCGCATGGAGTTTGCAGCTAAAAACGTAAATAATTCCAGTGCGTTGAAGAAGATCATTGGTGCAATGGCAGGTACAGGACTTGCCGTCTACGTGGGATCGTGGAAAGATGGTCGGATGCATGGATCAGGCAAATATACGCGTGGAGATGGAAGTTTCTATGATGGTTCGTGGCGGGATGGACTAGCTCATGGCTTCGGGAAAGAGCTGGTTATGGCTACAGGCGAGATATACGAAGGCATCTGGCATACAGGACTTCGCCACGGAGATGGCACTGTTACACGTAATGGCAATCGACGTAAAGGGCTTTGGCAAATGGGACAACGCACCAAATGGACAGTAGCAGAAGTCTCGGTGCAAAAAGCGTAACAAGTGTATACATGGCTACTTTTTGGCCAACTTGGCTCCCTTGGGGCCTCGTCGACGCCTGCAGCAAGTAATAAATATAAGCAAAAAATAAAAACTAAAAAAAATTATCCGGTGTCTCTCGTACATGGTTCCTGTTGGCATGTGTCTCCTCTTGAGTTGCATCGGATTTACCGCCGCAGTCGTCTCCGTCTCCGAGTTCTGCGACGCAGTAGCGCTGTTCTTGGCATCTTGGCTGTTTAGTATACGGGTATCCTGGTTCTCTACCCGTATATTTGAAGTATTCCTGTTCGCTTTATCTGCTTTTTGTTGCTCCGACAGCATTGATTGGGGTGGCTTGGCATGGATACTACAAAGAAGTTCTACTAGACTCTGTGGAGCGTCGTTGGCCACGATTGGCAGCTGGAAAACTCCCTTTCGAGAGATTGAAGAGCTGAATTTGTATGTCAGCGACAGGAAAACCTCCTTAACCGTGTCGTTCTCTGTCTCGACCTCCACGTCCACACACGGACGCTGCTCCAGCGCTTTCTGAGCTCAAATTAACAGTATTATTCAGCTGCATCGACTACAGGGGATTATAATGGTGACAGACACACCTGTAACAGCGTTTTGAATGCATGGACGTCCATCTCCAGCCCGAGTTCCTCACTCTGCAACAATAACATCTTTAGATCAGCACACACGCTACAAAGTGCCAATTAGAAGAGCCCATTACATGCTCCTTCAGCGCATTCGCATCCACTTTGAGCTGCGCCACAACGCAAGTCTCTCGCGTCACCACAGCTGTAAAAACTAGTGTATCCACAGGCTCCTCTCTCGCGAACAACAGCCACTTGTCGTCGCCATCACCTGCATACGAGCGTGGAGTCATGCTTTTTGACATCAACTTATGTACGACACATAATCGAATCATTTAATAATGTGGTCCACCAAATGACATAATTTAGGCAAACAATGTGAAGTCCAAACATTCCCAAATAAAAGTCAATAAGGAGCACATGGGAAGCACTAATACTATCCTTGCAAAGCATCTACAGAATAATTTGACAAGTACCTTATACTGGCACTTTAAGTCTCTATTTTCTATTCATTTCGGAAGGTCCTTACCAATGGTGAACCAGCCGCTCCGCTCGCACGGTACTGTAAATCCAGCGCTTCTCCGCGTGAAACACGTCTTTGTTTAGATGGGAAATCACATGCCGTAAGCGCTGGTGTCTGCCTCGGAACTAAACATTGACAGTTTTGAAACTCATTCCGAACGTACGTCGTAGTCACAGCAATGTGAGGTCTTTGGACCCCTATTAAAATTGATTCAGTAGTTCTGTTAATCCTAAGGGTGGTTCTTAGCCACTGCCACGCGTGCCGTGACATGGCACTACAAATTGAGCCATGGCATGGCATGGTTAAGAATATAATCTTCCTGTCATTGTGTCATCACAGATTTTTTTCTTCTTGATCTTACAATAATTCAGATAAAAGTCATATGGCACATGACATTTGCACTTTGCCACGGCAAATTCCTGTCATTCCGTCGTCACAGAAAAAAAATCTTGAACTTGGAATAATTAAGATAAGAGTCAAACCGCACGTGGCACTTCCTGTTATTTCATTTACTTTAAACGCTGGCCCTAGCAAGCGCTCATCTAATCAGATCACAGCACTTCATACCATGGCATGGCTGGCGTGGTTCAGAGCGATCCTAAGGGTTAATCCTTCAATAATAGCCGTGCAAAGGCTGTTTAAGCTCAATTTGCACATTCACTCCGCTAGGCCGAGCTGACCGATGCAAGCCCTCTCTCACAGGTTGCAGTGGATCTATTGGTCAAACTGGCATAAATTAGATCCTGTATCATGAATTTTAAAAAAGAAGTTTCTTAAACGTGGGCATGTAGCTATTAAAAGCTATTAAATGGTTCGTGGTCATGTTGCTAACTGGTTATGGATAAAATGAGATCAGAGAATTACGCCACGTCGCGTCATAACTTCGACAGATAACGCGAAAGATGGGAAGCCGACATGAGACCTTTAGAGATTAAGCCTCGGCGACCAAATACTGTTTGTTCAAAGGCTCGAGCCCATGCGGCATCTAATTATATTTACCACCTCTCACCATCCTGTTCTCCCAAAACTTTGAATACCCTTTAGCATACTCTGGGTGGTTCGTGGCGACCCATTTCGGGGTTTTGTCGGAGAAAATCCACTTGTTGTACTGCGCCAGTTTCTTCGCCTTTCTCACTGCTTTTTCGACAACGTCCTTCCACTTTCCCCGTTCCTCGCCCTCGGAAGTTCCTTGCGTTCAGAGGAAGCGCTTGACTGAATCAGTATTATCTCCAGCACGGTTGGTCTTCATGATGTGACCAGAAGGCATCGCCGCACCGGTGGTCCAGAGGTAGATCGAGGCCGCAAACATAATAATGACTTTGGTGGCACGCATAAGTTCGTTTGTCTTCTTTAAAAGCTTCGCGTGGCAGAGATCGATTTTCAAACTGAGCACGAATGTGACCACTCCAGCAATTTGCACTAGGCGCGTTTCGATTACGGTTTTTGCACTGCCAAGTGATTGCGCTCATTTTTGCCCAATCAGATGCTGGGTGTTTCAGATAGCAATCGGTGTGATTTATGTTGACAGAGAACGATCTGTGGTCTTCAAATAACAATCTTTTGGCTTCCCAAAAGCTACACCCTATCTCCTTGTATTACAGGAGTGAATGACTCATTATATGGCCAAAACGGCTAATGCGGTCGGAAGTCGCAATAACACTGTCATTTTCGCAATTACTTGCAAGAAAAATATACAAATAGTTGCAATACAATAGTTTTTTATTATACGATTTTTTTTTCCAGAGTCACGTCCTAGATTGTAATGATGTCAGATTTTTTTATCCTTATCACTTCTTAAAATCTAAAAAGAAATTGTTTCCTTCTCGCAATCTTTGTAGGAAAAGCACTGAGTTCAGACAAATAGCTCATTTTTCTTAATACTAATACTTTACAAAACACAATATAAATCAGGACATGCTCTAAACAAGATTTGGCCAAATCCAACATCATGTTATTTGAAAGGCTGCGTCTGTTGCCCTACGATTACCTTTGACAAGCCTACACCGTGGTTGATTTCCAGCACGTTGACTTTATCGGTGGATCGTTTTGCGAAACGAAACGGTTCAAGAGGGTGCATTATGTAATACATTTTTATCAAGACCTCTCCGTAATAGGCGTTTTGGTTTACTGTGCGGAATAGACGTGAATGCAGGTCTATATCTTAATTCAATAGACCGTGATCGATGGTACCTATAACCGCTCAAAATTGCTGTTCTGGGATTCCAGTTCTCGTTCTAAAGTGCCCAGCGGTGTAACGGTGTACTATCGGGTGTACCCAATCTACATAGAGCATGACCGCCCCTCATGTGGATACCTGGAGCCCGGAACCAGCGGCGCTAGGCCAGCATGTGCACAATTACATAGCTTTACTATAGGTGGCATCTAGTTTTTATTACAAGTTTGTGCTTTGAGAAACATCAGGGGTGGACGTGCCACAAACGGGGCATGCCCAATAGCGACAACATTGCATTAACGGGGGGCAGCTGTGTGATTAGCTTCATACTGGCGAGAAACGCATTTAGATCGGGAGGCTCAGTGGGCCCGAGTTTCAGCGGGGAATGGAATATTCTACGTGAAGACATCAAAATAACAGTCTTCATGGCCGGCCAGCTCAACCGACGAAGTACACGAGGCGGATAGGCATGATTGCCGATGACTTTCACAAACCACGGGAGGCTCAGTGGGCCCAAGTTTCACCGGGGAATGGCTTGGAAATACTTTGCCTCTCTGGTCCTGAGCTAAGACCAAGCTCGTTGCGGGACTAAGTGCTGATGTACATCGACGGCAGGCGGGAGACGAGCAGCATGGTTAGAGAGGTGGTAGCGCTAGCCAATTACGACACAACTACGCTTACCAAACTGAAAGAGGAAGATACAAGCGTGTTTTTGGCTAAGGACCTTGTACATACTTGCGAATTACCACTAATGCTGTTCTAGTTATGACGAACGCCACGGACGCTAGGTACCTAAGAATCGCTTAGTAAAATCAGCCGTTTTGCAGCTGCCTGCAGCCACACACGACGCGAGGCGTGGACCTCGTGCAATCCTCGCACATGTTTCTTGGTCGTGAATGACCTGGCGAGTAGGATGAACGGATAGTATCACCGACACGCAAGCTGGTTGCGGTACGTCATGTATGCAACACACCGGGTATAATGAACAAAGCCGCCAGAACGCAAGGGGTGGTTAAACAAAATTGTCGAGCACTACGCGATTATTACTCTTTTTGAATTACTTACATCATGCATTCAATTCGAGTTAATAACGCTTGAGTCTCCTTTTTAATGCTGTGCTTAAGTTTCTTGGGATAAATAACTTGTATTATATCCTCTTTGCGTCGAACATCTTCCTCTGACGCTAACGCTACGGTAGCCTCGCCGCAACTTCTGTGTGCACTCGTGCATAAGAAACGCACAATGTTGACGTGGTTAGAGCGGCATTGGCAGATACACGAAACAGTGCGATATCATTCGCTCGGATGCAGTCTACTGGCTTAAAACCCGAAGTATTTTACTTACTTTTATTATGGCCAAACTGCCTAGGGGTAAATGTATATATTTAGCTATCTAGCACATTTAAACCTAACCAAATCCATTACTTGTAGCTTTCAGCCAACGTACTGCGATACATTGTTAGCTCTCCAACTTATGTACTGAGCGTTTGTTATCTCTTTAGGTACCCCGTACGTGTGTATTCCACACCGTGTAACCCCGTTAAACAACCAGCCAGGACTCGGGCGAGGCAGCGCACGCAGCCGCAACGGGTGCCACGCTGAGTACGACGATGTATAGAACGAAGCGCTGGTTCTCAACGCGGTTTTATTAAAAATGTCGGCGGCAGCCTGGCTCACAAACTCCAGCCCGTTGTCGGGACGCAAACACCTCATGCGTCCCCCCATTAATTCGATGTTACTGGCTTTGTAAATATGCTGTATTCGTTTTTTGTGGTATCTTGTGACGAACGGCAGCCTCGGCCATATGGACCAGCGCTACGTGCCACGAGCCCAATATAGTGCTAGACTTCGCCTTTTTGACACTGCCAGAGGATATAATTCGAATAACAAGTACGTTTGGGTGTTAAAGGACGGCTTCAGTGAATTTGGGGGGGCTGTATCCGGCGGAAACACCCGATACAAAGACGTGTACAGGTTCCCTGTTGGCTTGGTATCAACGCTCCGGAGCAGTATAGAAGTGGGTGTAAGGCTTACAGCGTAACCCCCTAGATATTATTTACACTTTGGCATTAGCACCTTCGGTAAAGTTGACACAGAGTTTTAGACAGTTTAGGATAGGGGCGTAATGACGGCGCAAGTCAGCTCATAGAGTCATGAAAACTGTATTTTGCGAGCATTTTGCCGCTATAGCCTGCATCATCCTGGAAGATGCATTCACGATGGATGATACACCACTCCATGGAACGTCCATGCCGGTGCTACTCGAAATATTGAAAGTTTAAAGCGGTAGCTATATTTCTGGTGGCGTCGTTTTGGACAGGAATATAGTAATCCACCAAAATAACATCATGACCTGCATCCTCTGAATAAATTCCAGCGATCTTAATCGTACATCAGCAAGAAAATATAATGCAATCTTGACTGGGGGTATCTAATATTTGTATCTTGACCAAGCTAATACTGTGTAAATTAACCCTTTCGTGGTCAAACGCGGCATTTTGTCGCGTTCTACAAAATCCACACCTTGTTTTGTTTTAGCCAGTCAGATCTTTAGTTTACCGTTTCTGATAGATCCTTTGTGCCGACTGGCGAAACGGAGTTGTGAATATCGCAATATCGTGTATCTTTTTCGGCCAGCATAGCGTCATATTTGCGGTTCGGCTGGTAGCCGCATGAAATGCAAGGGAAAAACGTGCTGTAAACAAGGCTAGCAGATCCTAAAACCTATCTTGGCAATTTGGTCGAGGCCTCAGCCCCAGACCCACCAATCGTGCTGGTATCAACTATAGTACTCCTAGGTTACATGCATGCCTTCTCTCTCTGTATGTTTTGCTACGCGAACCAACTTTACCGACGCACCAGACAAACGAATTGTAGCGCTTGCACTCGAGTATGAATCCCAACGCAAGCGAAGAGAGTGGAAGGTGGTTTCTCGGGCCATGACGAGTAAAACTTCTGCTCAAGCGGTTGAGAACCGGCTGCGTGCTCTGAAGCGCACGTATGGACATGATCTACCAAGATTTTTCATCATGTTTTTTCTTCACGTCGACGCCAACATTCTCTCACAAACAGCATCTTCGTCTTCTGGAACTGAGTCAAGCAGAAGAAGCTATCTGTGATATTTTCAGCAGCATTTCGGCCGCGGACGTTCGTCAGCAAGCTGGACAGACGGATAAGAACGCAGGTGAGATGCTGCCTGCCGCTATATCAAGCGTGCTTAACATGATTGGAGCTGTGCATCAAGACGACGTCTTGCTTGACATTGGTGCTGGCCTGGGGAATGCTGTGGTGCAATTTGCGATTCAGACGATTGCAAGCCAATGCTTGAGAATCGAGAAACGACCGGAGGTTTTTCTTCGAGGCGTTCATTGCTTGCAAGCGCATGCACCAAGGCTACTATTACTCCACAAACTGTTTTTGAGCCAAGGTGACGCTCTTGGTACGCCACTTTCGTCGCGTTTACCATTTCAGCGTGCATATATACTTTTTCTAAACGATTTTCTGTTTGATGAATTAGCGAAGCTGGTCGTACAAGAGCATCTGTATATGATGCCGAGAGTTAGTTGGATCATTTCTACGTCTCGCTATTGTACCCACTGCCGAAGAAGATTTTGCTCCAAGTGGAGGCTCGCGAAAACCGCGAATGGACGGGGTAGCTGGAAGTCTCCTCTAATTTCGATCTACATGTACACGACTGTCCAGTGGCTGGAGATTATAGTGCGTTGATGCTGGACCGGTCATTGAGGCCAGTATCACGGGGACAAGGCAGGCAAGTGGCCGAAGCCGAGCGAGGACGTGGCCTTCTTCACGCTGTCGGTCAAGTTCGGCAAGGCACTGAACACAAGGGCAAGGACATGTTCCTCTCGTGCCTAGCTCAGCACGAAAAGAAGGTGGCCTAAGGAAGCTCCTACGTGGAGCTGATTTCCGCGAAGGTGGCAACGCGTATGCCAAGCTGTCACCCGCGGGCGTGGACCACGCATACACCAAGCGGCTGCCTGCGGCGAGTCGCCGTAGGTGGTCACATTCGAGCTGGTCATCTCGGCAGCACTCAGCGCCTGCACTCACTCGTGCTCATAAAAGGTCAGCACACACGGGTTCAAGACCGACGGCAACAGCACCAATGAATGAGTGCTGATCAAGCAAGGCCCGGCTCTTCTTACGGAAGAAGCAAGCCAAGAACCTCAACCCGTTCGAGGTCAAGCACAGGATGGAGGCCAATCACGTCAAGAGGCCCGCAGCCTACGACGACATCCCAAGACCATCTCGGACCCGGTCGATGAGGAGCCCGAGGACTGGGACGATGAGGGCGACGGCGATGTGGAGCCCACCATGATCGAGAATCTCGCGTACAAGAGCGCGTGGAAGCCCAAGCTGCACTATGTACGACGACAGCCTGGTCACGGACAGCAATAACATCTCAAGGCCCACGCCACTACGATATCATTGGGGAGCGAAATGCCACAGCGGTTGGCATAATACATAGTATCTAGAACAGATACAATGGCGGAAATAGTTTAATTAAGATATATTTACGTTTATGCAACATTTTGCCATGTGACTCTGCTCTGTTGGTTTGGTGGGCTGTGCTGAGGTTGTTATCTGCTTTCACTTTGTTGCCGTGGTGACCGGTGCTAATACAGAGTATCTAGAACAGAGACAACGGCGAGAATAAATTTGTCAAATATATTCACGTTTACTCGAAAATTTGTCGTGCGACGCTAGAAATACAGAGTATCGAGAACAGAGCCAGCGGCGGCATAATTTTAATCAAAATATATTTACGTTTACCCGAAAATTTGTCGTGCGACGCCAGTCTGTTGGATCGGTGGACTCTGCCGAGGTCGCTGTCTGCTTTCACTTTGTTACCCTGGTGAGCGATGCTCATCAAATAGGCTGCGCTGACCCGCTAGAACGTCTCCGACTGGTTATGTAACGCATTTGCATTGTACCTTGAGGTTGGCTAACGTTGAGGACCTACGCAGATTCCCGTTTTCGTTGAATAGGCCACGTTGAAGATAGAAGCGGTGAAACTTGTCCCAGCAGGACCAAGTGCTCTGTGGACAGGTGAATGAAGTCCTAGCGTCACCGTGTACAACTCGGCAAAGGCACGCGGTGTGAATTAGACAGTAATCGGTTACCTCAGTCACGTATCTTCCTTCATAGCGACAGACAACGCACTCGCGCTTCCTCCTGCTCTTGTTCTTGTACATTTTCTTTGACGATATCGCCTCACACCGCGACGACTGAGTCGGTGTCGGGGTCATCGCTAGGCCTGTGCTTGGAGGAGTAGCACTGGGGGTGTCTGCGGCTTCTGTGGCAACGTTGCTGCCGAACGGCATTCGTTTGCCTTTAGGCGCTTCTAGCCATCGACCCGAAATGAGCTCTGATACTAAATCCGTAGCAAACATGGTTTGGGGGCCCCGATCTCTTGACGTATCGATTGCCATCCGCCGAGCCAAGTACGCGTTGGAGCGTGCGATATCCACAAGTACTAAGGCCAATTTTTTGTGCCAACGGTTGAAGGAATGACCATCAGCGATTGAGAATATAGCACGTATCTGGTCCAAATGGTCAACGCCTTGCATATGTTGATTGTATTTTAAAATACAGGTGGGGGCAGGAAATGCACAACTTGAAGCTCCAATTCGTCGTGTCACCATAGCAGTGGTAGATGGACCAGCATTGGTGACCATGGTGACAACGTTGCTATCGCACTATGACGCCGCCAGCATGTAATGTTCGACAGCCGCTGACTGGTGATTATCACCCCGAGAGCACTCCTCTGTCTGCAGACTAGTGTGCTTAGAATAATATTTGCTTCTGCCCCGCACTGTTCCTCGCCCGTACAATCTCTTCATCTTTAAATCCAGCGGCGGGTGGACGTTTGTGTAGTAGTAATCTATGTTCATAATCCGTCGAGAAAAAAAGTATGATCGCACCACTTCAAGTACATGTTTGCTTACTTGTTGGACATCTTCTAGCTCCTCACGGAGTTGTTGCATCTCCTCTTGGCTCACCACGTTCTGCAAACGATCGGCAATATCGCTATTGCCGCAATGCAGACGGTAATTTAAAGCAATTCTTGTGGTCGAGCAGCAAACTACATACATTCGAAAGTGATTCTTTCAACCTGTGGATGAGCACAATGAGGCGACGGCGGTGGCGTGACCGGCAAGCAATGCTGGCTTCATCCAATGCAAGGTCACGGCCTACTTCGACGTAGTGGCCTCCGGTACACTAAAGCAAATTCCACAAGGGTTGAATACGGGCGATTGGATATCTCACCACGGGCGACCCCGGCTCAGCGCGAAAGCTAAAACACCGACGAATCAACTTGAACCGACGTAAACTCATCACGTGTCCAAACTTGTAGACGCTCCGCTAAAAATCGCGTCTTCATTCTGGGCTCCCCAATAGTTAGAGTTTTCACCTTTGTCCGTGAGCGTCATGTAGAACATTATGCCCAAAAAGACCATGTGCTCGTCCATAGTGATGGGTGCGGTGATTAGAATCTCTTTGACAGCGGCATACCAGTTTGACTCCTAGACTACTTGTTTTCAAAAGTAGATGGGAATGTAGGCAAAGAAGCTCGAACTAGCGGAATGGGCAAACAGATGATCATAAGCTGGCAATAGTCGCGTCTGAGTAGTACTATCATCTGGGTGCTCGTACAGATCAGCCGGGGCTTCCATATCCGTGTCGGGCTCGAAACGCATATTCTTCACTGCTTCCACCTCTGCAAGACTCACTGGCATACCTGCTCGGGATCGTACGTCTCGTACTCCCCTTCGGCCAATGCCACTTCAAGTTCATCAAGTGGTGCGTCCAAATTCAACTCCTTTTCAGTCCCCTTGTCGGTCAAATCTTGCCATGCCGGCTGATTAGGTACACGCCCTAGAGCTAGATGGTTCTCAATACCCCGTTGCACAGCCGCCACAGTGACGGCTTCCACTGCGTCTTGAAACTGACTATCAAGCCACATCAATTGGAGAATAGCTCCTTTTTTTGTTTCTTGATACGACGACATACTCGACCAACGATGTAGGCCGTTCCTACACACCTGTATACCTTATCTGGCACCAACCGCTCTCTCGACGGCGAAAACGCCACCAATTTCTTCAAATAAATCTGTTCAATCGTTGGTGTACCTTGGGTAAGACGGCGGGAAATGCTGGTTCTTGATATGCTGATGCCTGCTTCCGGAGTCGCGATTCTTTGATTGGTGCGGCCGAGATCCTGCTGACTTGATTCATCAACCACACTGCTTAGGCAGGCAAGACACGCTGAGGCTCGTCGCCGTCTGCCACCTCCACTGCCCAATCCACTGTGTTGGCTACTCACAATGTCCACGGCATGAGCGCTGCCAGGCTGTCGTCTTTGTGAGGTGGCAATCTGCCCACGTCCACCAATATCTTCTGTGACTGCAACGCCACCATTGCCTTCACCACAGATTGCTTCCACATCCACACCACACGTTACCACGCCACAATCGTCGTGATCTGCAGCTCGGTGGTGGCCAACACCAGCTCCAGGAGCAGATAGTTCAGCGACAGTGTATTGCATGACAGTAACGGCTTGGTCGAGGTCACGAAAAGCTCCGGCCTGTACACCTTCAGCACCACCGCCATCGTCATTCACACCAACGCCACCATCTTGTATGGCTACTTGCTCTTTGCTGCCGCGCAACCCCCGGCGCGCACGAAGACCACTTCTAGTTTGGCGCTCTTTCTGGCTGCTTGTTGTGGACTTACCACGGCCACAATAAGCACCATCGATACGACGGTTGTGGTCTCCTGGCGCTACAGATAAAATATTTTGAGTACACACATCAACACAGCGTACTCTGCAAAGCTACTAGTCATACTTAAACGACGAGTGAGGGATGCACCACCAATGTTGCTGTGTTTTGAGCGTGCGATTGAGTGCTGCGCGTTGTCAGCTACAGCCGCTACTCCAGCTTCATCTCTGCACCATTCGTCGTGGTCGGCATTGACCGCAGTCACTTGAGCAGTGTGACAGCATCATCATCTGCGTGTTCGTGTCTGCCGACATCTTGTACGACACCAGGGTTACCTACAACAGCGGTAATTATATGCATTTGAGTGAACAGCATTATTGTAAGCGATGGAGAGCAGGAATTACTCACAATGTTGTACGAAGTGCCACAATATACTTCTTCTTCTCCAAGCAGGTATGCAACGCCAGCTCTTCCGCTACAAGTACAACCGGGGAGGACATACCGATATCGACCGTCGAGGCCACTTGGAAGCTTGGAAGTCCACCCAGCTGCCTTTAGCTCTCTCCACACACCGTTAAGGTCCGGCGTCGATGACAATTTGGTAGCGTCGTCGCTGAGGGCTTGGTCCCGCCGGGGCCGCTGCGTTTTTTCAGGTTGATCTTCTGCGAGCGAGCGTTATCGCGGCATGGACTCAAGGCGTCAAATCAGGAAATGAACGGCTCTTGTATCTCTTACGAAAGTAATATTTATTGAAGTGCAAAAATGTTTTGTTTGCAGCCTAATCCGGCATCTTATTTGCATGTGATTTTGCTGAATATAGATTTTTGTGATGGGATGAGTCCCAGCTGCAACTGGCTAGCACCGGCTCCGAGAGCAGTCTACTCGACGCCTCGACCAGAACGATGAATACTGAGAACAAGTTAAATACTCGGTTCGCGGACCTCTTACAAATCTCATATCGGATATCAATGGTGCGGAAACGCGTGGGGTGGAAATTCAACGTTAGGAACTTGCATTTTTGACTTCTCTGATTGGCCGAGATCCGCCGATCAGTGGGGCGCCTTTATTCTGACGAATCAGCGACGCGGCTGCTGTGGCTCGACTCTTCTGCAAAATGCGGCAAAATGCACGTTCTATAAGCAATATATCGTGTTTTGAAACAGTCTGTTTTAAACGGAGTGCCCATTCCTACCTCAAACGTTTGGCATAGTTGCCAAGCTTTGCGATCACGAAAGGGTTAGTACTCAAGGCTGAAAATAACTTATCCGTTACCGCACAACGACACTTAACGTAACAAAGATCGCACATGTACTCCACTAGCTCCACAACGCGGATACACTACTCCTAGACACGTAGCTTACAATAGCACTTAGGGCTAACTCAATGGGATGCGTTGCCTTTATCGTACGCAATGATCAAAACAATCGAAGGGCGAGAAACGAGCCGCGGTAGCTGCTTGTCATTCATTATAGATTCCATATACACAACGCGAGGAGAGAATCGCGCTTCACAACAGCTTCGTTAGTACTCGGCATAGTGTCTCCCCCAGATATTGACGTCGCTATTTCTTGTGATACGTAGACAATTTTGTTTTTAGAATACAGAAACTACATTCAACCCCCCCTAGCTGGCGATATTACAGGCAACGCAGCAGCAGCTACACAGTCAGCAACAT